TTTCAAAAGGACCCTATGAACAGCGATATATGGACTGTAAATGAATTAGAGTATTAGTATTTATATTTTGTAGTTATATATTTGTGTGCCTTTCATTTCTCCACTTTGTTTATTGTACAGTATTCTGTTTCTATTTCCATTTGAATTTTTACAAACATGCACATTTTTTAAATTAAAATTAAAAAAAATTACTTTGTAGTTCAAAAAATCATTTGACTCTTTTCCTCTGTTCCTCTGTCTTAATTTTTATTTAATTTTATTTTTTTAACCCCATTAGTAAAAGCTTATAAATCACACTAAATTATTTTGAATATGTAAAAATGCAGAAAGTTTTATTGTGGATTGTTTTGGGTAAGGGGATAGAAATTATTAAATTATTATTAGGGGTATAAAAATTATTATGTCGAAACTCCCGATAACGCATGGAAACTCGTGTGTGTTTTCGTTCTTGTTTAATCTACAGCAAGAGGACCAAATGTCCCCACTAAGATAGAAACTTGTGTGGTTAAGTTATTGTTAAAGGAGTTAAAGGCCACTGTCGAAGTGACCTCTGTCCTTCTCTCTTCTCTGAGTCTTCTGGTTGCTGTTCGAGTGTGATCTCACATCCGCATCATCAAGACACAGGGGTCAACACATTAAGACGTGTGTTACTTTCTCAACTAACAGAGTCAAACTAACATTTCAAGTTCATCATCATCAAATTAATTGCAACTTTAACACCATTGACTCACAGAAGCATCGAGTCTTTATCCTGAGACTGCATCCAGACGCTTGTTCAACTGACCGTCTACTCATATGTAAATTTTGCTAATTTCATCCTTTAGATCGAAAGATCTGGAAAAGTCCACACATTTACCCGCCCGTAGACCTTGAAGATATCAGGACAGAAGTGTCTACCTCGTCTTCTTGTGATCCTATCGACCAAAACACATCTTAATACAGGTGTGAACAGGGCCAAAGATACTGAAACGTGTGTGTTTGTTGTTCTACTGTCCTGTCTTGCTTTCTAATGGGAGACCGGATATGATTGTAACATGTTAATTGTAACGCTTCCAATTTCTCTAACCAGGAACAACACACACAAATAATTGTTCAAGCTGGTGCACATTTGCTAATTTTATTTGTTACACAGCCACATATACTGTACACACAAACCAAGTATGTTAAAAGCTTGTGTTGGATGATAAACTTTCTTTTTTATTATTATTATTATTTTTTTTTTATAAATACACTATGCGTGTATAGTAACATTTCACTCCTAGTGTTTGAAACTAAGCCACACATTTTTCTATTACAGTCATGTCATTTAATAGCTGACATTTGTAACTATTTCTTGAAACACAGTTTTAACGCACTGGCTTAAAAAAAAACCTGATATAGACAGAGATGTAAAAAATTCACTCTCGGTTGGTGCATATGATATATATTTAGGTTATACACTACTTTTTTATGTTTGAATGGCCATACGTTACGTTTTTTTGTCTGCCCCATATACTGTACGTATCACACTGTAGCTGATGTCCATGTGGTGAACAGTGTCAGTGGAGTTTCAGTCTCTGCTTGACTGTTTAGTGTTGCATCTTTACTTCCTCGTGTGTTTCTAACAGCCTCAGTGCAGATTCACACATTATTATTTGACTTGCTCAGAGGTTCATCACTCACTACAGGAACTAATGCAGCCACAACACATTTGAAAATGATTCTTTATTATATTTGTAAAACACACTTGGGAATCATTTTAAGTAAATATGAGACACTGTGGAGGATTACAGGATATTTGAACTAATTTGCGGTAAAACTAGTCGATCACGAGTGGCTCAACAGGATAAACTCATCTTTCAGGCATTTGACCGACCGTGTTGACACTTCAGAGTGAGAACTCGGGGATGTGGTGTCGTGAGAGCGTGAGAATTGGCTTTATGCACAGTTGCACTACTTCCTGAACTTCAGCCTGCTCCTTGTTTCCTGTCTGCCATTATTGGCCGAACTTGATTAAGGCAACAATAATCAGGCAACAATAATCAGACACACCTGAATTAATCAATTTGTAGAATAATGGCAGAAAGGAAACAAGGAGCTGGCTGAAGTTCAGGAAGTAGTGCAGCTGTGCAGAAAGCCAATTGGCTCAATTGCGTGAGTCTCACGCTGAATATGTGAGAGTTGGCAGCCCTTCATGTTGTTCAGTTATGTGTGAAGAAAGTGTTTTATTTTTATTTTAAGTAAATGTTTTATATCAAATTAAACAAGAGAATCTGCTGATTTAGATTAACCTATACCACTTCTTGTAACATGCTTTAACCAGTTTAGCATGCCATACATATTATTTCTGTTATTTAACATGTTTTTTTATATATATTTGTCTAATCTGTTCATGGATATTGAGTATTGATGTTAATTAGGTTACAAAATTGTGTTGCACACAGACACTTTTTAAGGTGCAACAGGAAAAACAGACTTTTGGTGAGAAGTTATTCTCCGTGTGTGGAGTAGAAGAGTTAACGTTATTCGTTGTTTTTTTGTTTGTTTGTTTGTTTGTTTTAAGCGAGTATTTCAAGTGAACTCATTCCCTCTTGGTGATATGCAGGCAGCGAGGTATGTGTATTACGTTCATATTGCCCAAGTGTATTTGTAATTACCTCTTTATAGTGTGTGTGAACGTGTTTATCTTTTGCATTGCATACTGTAGTTTGACGGTGAATGTGACAATGGAGAGAAGGATGATGCTATAAATCCATCAGTAAGTAACACGAACCATGGTGTCGTTTATTTCCTGGAGGGAGTGATGCAGTTCACAGATCAAATTAGCCATTAGTAATATGTTGATGGGTTGTGGCTACTTGAGGCTGCTGCTACTTTTATCACTTGCTGACAGTTTTTATATTGTGGTTTCAGGCGTCATTTCTGCTCTGAAACAGAGACAGTTCAAGAAGTGACCAGCTCCTCTCATGCACACACACACACACACACACACACACACACACACACACACACACTCCGCTATAGACATGATTTACCTTCTGGTTCTCTCTGGGGTTTTACTTTACATCTCAGGTAAAAACAAAGAATATAATTCTGTTTCTTAAGCATTACTAAAGCAGTCTGTTGTTTAATAGTTAAAACGGTTTAACTTGAATTCTTTAAGTTATAATTCTACTGTATTCACGAGTGTTTTATGTTTTCTCCATGTATTCTTGACTACAGGTGTTGCTGGAGTTAATGCACTGAAACTTAATATAGCAGTGAAATCTGGATCATCTGGCATTCTTCCATGTGTGTATGATAAACAATATAAAGAAAACCGCAAATATTTGTGTTGGGGGCAATTTTGGAGCACTTGCCTAATATTGGCATATGCAGGAAATAAAGGAAAATATTCCATCACTGATTATCCAGACCAGAGTATTTTTACAGTGCGATGGGACAATCTGCAGACGTCAGACTCTGGATATTACTCGTGCGCTGTGGAGATTGGTGGCAGTGGCACCGTAGACGCCGGTTATTATTTGTATCTGACGGTGCAATCAGGTATTTTCCAAATTACGTTTTTTTTCTGACAATGATATTTATTAAAATAGAATATAACATAAATAAGCAGTTCAAACATAATATTAAACTCTAAATAACATTAAATAATGAAACATAAGTGTTTTTGGTGGGTTATAGCCCTTTATTCATTATAAATATAAAAATGAAATAATTAAGCTATAATTAACATTGTAAATAATATACTGTAAAAGGTAAGTGTTGTTGGGTATAATATTTATTCATTTCTGTACACACAAGTAAAAGTAACTTAAAAATAGAACATGTTAACTGAAGAACCCAATTGGCTGGGTCCCAAATGCACAGCTGCACTACTTCCTGAACTTCAGCCAGCTCCTTGTTTCCTGTCTGCCATTATTGGCCGAACTTGATTAATTCAGGTGTGTCTGACCTCAGTAGTCACGGCAACAATAATCAGACACACCTGAATTAATCAAGTTCGGCCAATAATGTCAGACAGGAAACAATGAGCTGGCTGAAGTTCAGGAAGTAGTGCAGCTGTGCATAAAGTCAATTGCTGATTTAATGATATTTCATTATTGTTCTTCATTTACTAGATGTAATGCTAATTCTGCAACACTAATTCTGATTCTGATTCCTCTTATTGTCTGCTTGGAGTTTAGCAAGTGAATCAGAAACCACTAGAATGATTTTTTGATCCACTAAAGTATTTTGAGAAATTACTGAGAAAGATCAGCTCTACAACAAAATATAGATGGGCAAACAAGGATGATGATGAGGATGAAAAACAGGATAAAGAGGAAGAAAACTAAAGATATAAATACATTTTGTTAAAATAGTTTGTTTTTGTAAATTTGTGAGAGCTTTTGTTCATTTTGGAGGCATTTCTTTTAGTTATTTATTATTTATATATTTATTTTTTCTAATACAGAAGAGACATTATTTATTTAATAATTATTATTATTAGAGACATTATTATTATCATAATAAAACATGTTAAGTAACATATGAGTAGCCTATCTGAATTTTGTGTCTTGTAATATAACAATGCCCTATCCATAGAGGAGGCATAGCCTACTTTAAATGTATTGAAATTAATAAGGCATCTTTGAGTAAACTTCGAGTATCATTTGAGTATCTGTTTGCCGGGTCGAGTGTCCTGGTTTTTGGTAATCAAAATATGGTCACCCTAGCATAGGGATGCTCACCTTCCTTTCTTGCCTTTGCTGCTCACAAGCAATAAGCATGTCCCAGACAGGTTCGACACTTATTTTGGTCTTCTGGAAACATTTCTGTTGTGGTTTGTGCTATTTGTAGCGCGTTTCTATATTTGGTTGTGTTGGGAACTTTTGCGGTTTGGAATAAAGTGTTACCAACCGTATAGTAAACACTTAAAATATCAAATAAATCAATATCAAGGGAATTTAGATAGGCCTATTTACATTTTACAGCCAATAAGACAATTGATGGACAAATGTTTTTTTGACTGATTTCAGCTCCTGATGTGTCTGTGAAGAGCAGCAGTGTATCTGGACATGAAGGTGATGATGTCAGTGTCCGGTGTCTCTACACTTCTGGATATAAGAATAAACTCAAACAGTGGTGCAGATATAAAGATCAGAGGTGTTATAAAGTGGGGAGGACTGACACATCCCAGAATTCATCAGTCCAGATCAGTGATGATGGGAGAAGCTCCTTCACTGTGTTGATGACTGGACTGAGACTCAGTGATTCTGGATGGTTCTTGTGCTCAGTAGGAGATCTGCAGGTTCCTGTTCAACTCGCTGTCAAACCCAAACCTGGTAAGATGATCACACATCAGTTCAGCTATAATGATGACACTCTTTATTCTCTATAAATATCTTCATGTTTTTCTCCTTTCAGTGACACGTATTCTAACAACAGCACCATCTGACCCTGAGACAGACAAGTAGGTGTAATTTCTGACCAAGAATCAAATAAATCTAAATACTTTTGTAGCCCGAAAACCTGTTGATCCTGTTCCCAAAACTGCTCTAAATGATTTGTTCACAATGTGGAATGATTAGGGTTTTTTTTTTTTGAGGACAGAAGTGCAGGAGAAGAGCATACAAGTATTGTTCTTTATGTCCCACAGAGGAAAGAAAGTCATACAGGTTTGGGATGATATGATTCGATTGTACTTTCATTTTTGAGTGAACATTTTTTTTTTCTCTTTTTACATTGTTTTGTAGGGACACAACTCAGACATCTGCAAACAGAAATCCTACAAGCGTGAATGAAATCATAAACAGTAAGGAGCAGCTGAACTGGGTTAATCAGATCAAATATGTTTAATGTGTTATACCAATTATGATATGACATGACATTAATCCATAAAAAAAATAAAAATACACTGGAGACAATTGTTGTTTAGATGCACTGCATACAATGGGAGGCCATTTCACATTTCAGCCACATATGAAAAACAATCATGCTTTAGTAAATCATAATTATGACATAAAAGTAGAATTTATGACATAAAAAGTCATATCTGTGGCACAAAAAGCTGAAATTCTAACATAAAATATCAGAATTATGACTCTAAAGCTCTAAAGATAGAAGTCATAATTACGACACATTTAATTGACATTAAAAAGTATAAAAAACATAAAATCATGCTTTAGTATTCTTATTACATAGAACATTATGACAAGTCAAAAGTCAAAATTATGACCTTAAAAGTCAAAATTATGACAATGTCAACTTTTTATGCATAATTATGATTTAACAAAGCATTCAATTTCTCCTTATGTGGCTCTCATAACAAACAGCTTCTTTCATTAATGATAACACTTTGATCAAACTAAGAAACATGTTTCTCTGTTTCTGTTTTTGGCAGCAGTTATGATTACTGATTTAAGACCTGAGACACGCATGTAAGTGTGAACATTGTTATTCAGACATTCATAGCAAATTATACCAAACTATTACATGTTAACACAGTAATGTAATGTTCATTTTAATTGCAGACATGAAGCCCATCCATCTGTAACATCAGCCTCAGCGACCATTAATACAGAAATACATCGCCAGTATAAGCAAAACAAGTATGCATGTAAATTAATGAATTTTCTTTTATTGCATCTCTAAATTATAAAAAGCTTTAAGAGATGAACTTGCTGCACATTAAATGTGAGAATGGTTCTGTATGATAAACACAAATATGTCTCTCCATCACTACAGGCCTGATATGATTCTGCTCATGAGTCTTGTATCGACGCTTGTGCTGTTCCTGCTCGTTTCTCTCGTTGTAATAGTAACCTGGATGCTGAGAAAGAAGCTGGGTGAGTTTTCTCTTCTGGAGGACTTTCAGTATATTATTGCTTCATTTACAGTTATTTAAATGCAGTAGCACCTCAATGCAGTACATGAGATCCAAGGGGAGGAGTCGGATCAAGATCCAAGGGGTGGAGATGGGTAGGATTAGGGGTGGGTTTAGGGATCAGGGGGCGGAGTTGGGTAGGTTTAGGTGTATGTGAGGTGGGAGTAGTTGGATCTGGATCCCCGTGGATTTCATGTTAAAACCATCTCTTTAAATGGGCAAAACATACTGTGTATATATATATATATATATATATTATTCTAAACCCACGTGATGGGTAGGTTTAGGGGCAGGGTCAGGGGTAGGTCATTCGTACGAACTGGCCAACTCGTAAAATGTGTAAGATTTAGCAAAAATCGAACTAATTTGTACAAATGAGGTCGTACGAATTGTTACGAATTAGCCACCTCGTTAAATTCATACGAATTGCAGTGACATCGGGTTGATGTACCTCAATGATGGCTCATTCTGTGAACTGTAAAATGTGAACTAATGCTGCTTTGCATTACAAAGTATAATAATGATGTATAAAATCTGCAGTCGAGCCATGTCGATATCATACAGCTAGTTTTGCTGGATCTTCACTGGAATCAGCGGTATATGTTAAAACATACCAGAATCAGTCATAGCAGCTATCTGGAATAATATTATAACAGCTTATTATTATTATTCGGCTAAAGTTAGTCCTAAACGTAGGCTAGTGTTCTTGCTAAGTAATAGTTATGGCTACACATCAAAGTAGACACATATAGCAAACGCAACTCACACACTAAATCCCTACATATCTGATCTGATATTCGCTAGTGCGATCCAAGTTGTTTAGTCGAGCTTCACTCATATTTTTTAAAGAATTAAATTTTCACAGTTTACGTACAAAAAAAAGTCAGTAGAAGCAACTCACCTTTCCAGAAGAAACAGTGCAACCAAGTTAAAAATGTTCAATTCTTGAGTTCTCTCCACTGTTTTTTTTTTTAAACACTTTTCACTCGTCTTTGTAGTTCTAGCCGAATCCTCGTCGAACGCGCGATGGGTTGTGGGCAATATCAGCTGTTAGCGTGTGCATCGATCTACACTCTACTGGATTTAGTAGATTTAGTAGACCATCTTTGTAACACTCATTTCAACAAACTACGATTTGGGACGTACTAATTCTATTTTCGAATACTATTTAGGACGGATAGTAGTATGCAAAAGACTCAAACAAGAACCCCTAGAGGACAGACAAATCATTACACAGAACAAATACATCCAAAATACATGCAAATGTAACAGTTCCCCAAAGAACCGTGTTAGTGAACAGTTCTTAAAATAACCATTTTGTTCTTATTGTGAAGAGCATTTTAAAACAACCAAATAACTTTTTTCCATTTATAAAGAAACGTTTGTGCAAGGGAAAGGGTACATAAAGGTTTTTTTAACAGCGTCTATGGAAAATATTCTGATATATAATCTTCATATCACTCTGACAGAGAGGGGTCACATTAGAGAAGAAGAACCTTTTAACCCCACCAGTAATACAGTAAGTAGTTTACATACTGATGGAATTCAGAAATCTTCAGAAAATAATCTAAATCTGTGTTTGTTTTTGTTGCAGACGGCCTCTGAAAACCCGATGACATCCATCAGTCCAGCAACTGCTACTGTAAGTCATTAGTCCTCTCTAAAGACATTTACTAAGATGATGATTGAAAATGAATGATCATCAGTTGTGTTTCTTCACAGTCTTCGGCCTCAGTGGACGACTGTTCGGTGATTTACAGTTCTGTGATCCATAAAAAAGGCAGTAAGAAAAAGGCAGTAAGTGTCGTCTTTGAATGCTCTGAGTCACACTGCAGTTTGGGTTGGGACGTCCTGTTTGTCCAAATCAAAAGGGAAACTTGATTTAGGATGGGGTGCTGGGGGAGGGGGTCAACACATTTGATTAAGACTGTCTATAAAACACATCAAACTCCACGAAGCACAACAAGCATATTGGTGAGAAGAACACTTGATACACAAAAATACACACCAGGACAAATTACACACCGGGATATTTGACCGCACATAACATCACATGCTAAATAATTACTATTAGAAAGAAATAGGTTTAATGCTCACTTACAATTTATATTTAAAGTGTTTATTACAAATTAATTACTAAATGCTAAAAAGGCTAAATGCTATATGATCACTATTTTTTTGAATTTCTGTTATGTGACATTTGAAGCACAGAAATGACACACTAATGGTTGTAATACAGGATTCTTAAAGCTGATCATGTTTATTCGCAGGCTTTATCATCAGTGGATCCAGAGGGAGACGTGATCTACAGCTCTGTGAAAAAACCTCAAAAGCCTGTGAGTTTATATACATATCCATACACACCCTGCTCCTTAATGACTGAGCGAATGAAAGTAATTCATTGTGAATTAATAATAAATCTATTTATAGCATTTAAGTTTTTAGTGTAAACCTGTTATCTGTCACTTTGGAATAAGACTACTAAACTTATTTTAAACAAGTAGTTCACTTTTGATGAACGAGTTCGAACAGGAGAGTCACGAACGTGCATCACAGAACAGAGCAAGGCGAGCATTTGTGCTTATAAAACTTAAAGTTTATTATTTATTTTTAAATCACTGATCGTTTCGCTAGATAAGACCCGTATTCATCGTCTGGTGTCGTTTAAAGCCCTTTGAAGCTGCACTGAAACTCTCATTTGGTACTACACTGAATCCAAAATCACCCCCTTTACCCACAAATAGGGTATTATTTGAGGGGACAGCCTTTAGTGGTGTCCGAAACCATAGTGGACTTTATTGAGTGCACTTATTAAATCCCATACTGCATCACAATTAGTGCAATAAGAGTGTACAACCGATGTACGCTCAACGGCAGTGTTAGTGGACTAACGTAGGGAATAGTGAATGAGGGTTTAGGGGTGATTTCAGATTCTGAGGTGCACACCGCTGAACTACCGTTTTCGTCGTAAGGCAATGTCTGAGTTGAACAAGATGAATACTGAGGTCACTAAATGTGCAACTAACAAAAACACCAGCAAATTAAGAAAACGTCATCAGTTTTAAAACATGTGCAGCAAAAACAGAAATGTATTTAGCGTCGTGAGTGCGTTTTTGCAGATGTTGTCAAACTGATGACGTTTTCTTAAATTGTTGGTGTTTTCATGAGCACGTTGCGCTATCTCGGCCACCATAGTTTAAACTTTCGAATGATACCTAATTTAAGATGATTAATAAAATATTTGATAGGCAAAAAAAGGCAATAAAAAAGAGCAGTAAGCATCCCATTGGTGGAACACTGACAGTTAACAGGATGTGCAGCTAAAACTGTAAATGTGTCTGTGTTTAAAGGGTACATATCATGCTTTTAAATCATTCATTTTTACAAATAAATCATACACTTGTGGTCTATATAAAGCATAACTGCAATGCTTGGGTCTGAATTCCTCATTATAGCTCCACAAGCCCCTTTTCTACCCCTTTTCTGATGTGCGTCTTTGAGCGACCTGTTTCAAAGCGGCCCCTTTAAATAAAATGGCGTTGCGTCTTTCCCCGCCCGCTCTCCAGGTCGCTGAGTTCACGGTCGGTTCAACTCCCCACGTTCGGCCATTATTGTAGTTTGATAAGAGATATACAATTATATAGTATAGCTTCAAAGAACATTTTTAGTCACTCGTTAACAAAAGACGAAGTCGATCGGCAAACCCTTCTTTATACTGGCGGAGGTTGTTGAAGTGGGGATCCTTGAAGCGCTTCAGGTCACTACATCCAACAACCGAACATTTTGACTTGCCCTCTCGTAACTTCTGCATCATTGAGCTCGGACTACAAAATCGGAGCGAGAAATAATAATGGCGGATTGCTCGAAGTGTTGGGCCGGTAGTCGATGTCCTTATTTGGCAGCTCCGCTGCAAATACGGTGACGTGATACTTCAAAAAACGTCATAGAGAATATAAAGGTTGAAAAATATGACCAAAACAGAATATAAAGATATAAACGAAGCACCTGAAGAGAATAATTTCATAATTTCTGTACTTATAAACACTCCAAATATACAACAAAATGCATTTAAGGGCTAAAAAAGTGGATTTTGCATGATATGTCCCCTTTAAATATAGCTGCCATTGAAGTGCATTTCATATCTCTACCTTACATCACAGGTACACTCCAGAATGGATTCTTGACCAACTGGGAGGAAAAAACGACACAACACCAAAGAGCTGAAACATATGCTGCATCCCAATTCGCATACTATCCGTCCTAAATGGTTTTTGAAAATAGAATTAGTTCGTCCCAAATCGTAGTACGTTGAAATGAGTGTTACAAAGAGACCCGGATGGTCTACTATATCCGGTCAGAATCCGAAGTGTAGATCGATGCACACTCTAACGGCTGATATTCCCCAAAACCCATCGCGCATTGGACGAGGATTCGGTTAGAACTACAAACACGAGTGAAAAGTTTTAAAAAACTACAGACATGGAGGACGCGCGAGTCTGGCGGTTGTGTAGAGAGGTTTAGATAAAAGGATTTAAGTGATTAATTATCAGTCTCCGAAACGGTAAGAAAGTAATTTAGATTGAATGGAGGATTTTAACCGCGACGAGATGATTGACAGGTCAGTTTACGATGACAGGATGCACGCGACTGCCGTCAGTTAAAGATGACGAAGTATGTCCTAAAGCTTGCCTACTCTTTTACTACACAACTCAAAAGTATGTACTTTTTCTTCGTAAAAAGTACATACTTTTAGGGCGTAGGCTAGTATAAGTAGGCGAATTGGGATGCAGAATTTTTTTTTTTCCATGCATGTCCAAATTAGGCCTACATACATTTTTAGGCTTACAGAAATGCAGTTTTGTTAGTAGTAATTCAATTACAAGTAATTTAAAAAAGCTATTTGACTTTTTAGTTTATTTATTTTTAGTTTTGAATGAATTTAGGTTGCACAATAAATAGGGACATGTCCTGTATGTGTGACGACATCTGATGAAAATCAAAAAAATGTAAAACCAAGTAATGTATCATTCGTCGTGATGCCTTGACCTCGTTGTAGCTTTTTAACATCTCAGTGATTTTCGTTCATCTTCGTTTTTTCTTTTAATTCTAATGTGAAACTTCCTGAAATTTTTAAAGGGATAATTCACCTAAAAATTAAAATTCTATAATTAATTACTCACCCTAATGTTGTTCCAACTTCCAGCCCCATTAGACTGGGAGACATTCATTTAACACGTGATAACTTTCCCTGTGTCACAAACACCAGTGATCTCCACCAGAGGGCACTCCATCAATCTACTTTCTCACTATGAACTTAATTTCCCAAAAGCCATTGCCTGGATCATGATGTTCTGATTACTCCACTTGTGTTATTATTTTGTTTACTAGTGTCTATTTAAGCCCTGCGTGTGTATTCACTCATACTTAGTGAAGTATTTTATGTTGTTGCCATTATCCTGGTTTCCTGAGGGTTTTGTGCCCTGTTACTCATTTGGATTCTTTGTCCGTGTGTTTGACCTTTTGCCTGTATGGATTATGATTCTGGATTGTCTCAATAAAGCTGCATTTGGATCTTCAACCCAAGTCTCAGAGCAGTTCGTAACACCCTAAAATTGACAATGTATGAAAATGAACAAATTCTCAAGTCTGCTTTTTACATTACATGCCTGACTCTTGTCTGAATGTGTGTCAGTGTTGTTTTGTTGGGCTTGTTACCCAAACAAGAATGGACTTGTAATTTTAGTTTGGAGGATGAAATAAGATGTTCTGTCTGTCTGCACAATATTATATATTATATAAGGCCTTCAGCTGCAGTGTTTTGTACATTATATTTGTGTATATTTGCTTTGATTCAAGTGCATGTTTAAAATACTCTTGTGTCAAACCTCTCCGATAGCAGTGTGTGTGTGTGTGTGTGTGTGTGTGTGGGATTGATGATGTCTCTGCTGACTTCAGTTTTCATTACATCGATGAGTACAGAAACAAGAACGACTCATTATCAGAGACAGGAAGTCAGATTTTCATTTCAGGTTCTGTCTTTTACTCATTCTGACGGTCACATGGCTCTTCCTCTGATTCTCCTTGGTGTTTTACTTTACACTGCAGGTAAGATAGAAATTACATTCTACCCTCAAAACATGCTTTATATTTATATGTATGTATAAACTACCCTTTTCTTCTGCTGCTTCTTTGTATACTTTGATTGATTTTACTTTTTAAAGACTGCAAATTGAGCAAATAGTATTGCATGAACATAAATATACAATATGTGTGTATGTATACTAATATATGCTGTGTCTCCTGTTTAAGACTTGAACATTGCATAAGAAACCTTTCAACGGCCTTAAAAAAAAGAGATTAGGATTTTTGAAAATGACAGCATTAAAATAAATAAGAAAATTAATCAGATGATCACTAGAATGTTCTTAACACAAGTGTACGAATTCATTTGATGTCTATATCTCACTGTTTATAAAATCACCTTCCTCGAACCATGACTTAAAGGGATAGTTCACTTTCAAATTAATTTTTGGTATGTTTTATCTTACCTCAAGGGCATCCAAGATGTAGGTGTTTTTGGTTTCCATGAACCGTATTTATATCGTTTTTACCTCTTATAACCACAGCCACAAAGCGCCCGCGCCCTCGGATCACTTAGACGTGGCTGTGGAGAGCTAAAAACGATATAATTACGGTTCGTTTTCTAACACAAAGCGTTTGTTTCGTGTCTTAGGCCATCAATGTGTACTTACATTTACGAGTCATTAAATCATGTTTAATCTGGACTTCTCTGTGCATGCTCTTTGAGGTGGTGACCATAGACCTCCATTATATGACTGACAGACAAGAATGGTTTGACCTAAAAATATCAAAATTGAAACTACGGCGGAAACAAAGACACCTACATCTTGGACGCCCTTGACGTAAGCTAAAACATATCAAAAATTAATTTCAAAGTGAACTATCCCTTTAACACTTTTATATTGTTATATTATATTAAACTTAAAAAATCCCCCTTTCCATATTCCACCTGTAAATTCCACAACATCAAACACATTCATGAGTATGGAGGCAGGTCAAATCAAATCAAACCACTGAACAATTAATTAACTAATTGATCTAAAATAATTATTGCATATATTTTTTTATTTAATTAGAAAATTGTTTTAGCTAATTTCGTACCAGTATCATCATTAAAGCTAAGTGTTTGTGTGTGTGTTTGTTTTCTACAGAAACTTTGAGCATGAATACACTAGATCGTGTAACTGTGAGAGAAGGAGGAACTGTTACAATCCCGTGTCTGTATGACGATCGGTATAAACTAAACTCAAAATACTGGTGTCGAGGGTTTTATTGGTTTTCTTGCCATATCACAGCCCGTGTAAACGATACAGGGAAATGGACAATAACTGATTATCCAGCCCACAATATTGTTACTGTGAAACTCGACTATGCAACATCTTCAGACTCTGGGAGTTACTGGTGTGCGGTGGAGATTCATGAAAAACCAGATGACGGAAAACATTTGTATTTAACTGTTCAAACAGGTAAAGACTTTTAGTGCTTTTATTGTATGCTTCAGTAGATACCTGTATATATTTAACATGTTTTTTTTGTCCTGCTGTGTTCAGCTCCTGATGTGTCTGTGAAGAGCAGCAGTGTATCTGGACGTGAAGGTGATGATGTCAGTGTCCAGTGTTTCTACAGCTCCAGATATCAGGATAGACTCAAACAGTGGTGCAGAATTAAAGATCAGAGCTGTTATAAAGTGGGGAGGACTGACACATCCCAGAATTCATCAGTCCAGATCAGTGATGATGGGAGAAGCTCCTTCACTGTGTTGATGACTGGACTGAGACTCAGTGATTCTGGATGGTACTTCTGCTCTGCTGGAGATCGACAGGTTCCTGTTCAACTCTTGGTTCAGAGGGACAATGAAAAATATAAAAATACAAGTAAGTCAATTTATTTCAGTTATCTTGGGGAAACAGTTCAATAGTTTACCAACTTAAAAGCTACATGACATCACTAGTGAGTAATGAACTCCGCTGTTCTTGAAGCAGATACACTTAACAGTTTCACACAGACTCAGGTAGGCTAATTCATTTTCAGGTATACAGTGGTGTGAATAAGTTTGGACACCCATGCTAAAGTTGCCTAAAAAGAGAAATAAAAAAAATCATCTTTTGGATATTGATCTTAATGCCTTAATTAGAAAAATGAGGAAAACTCCAACCTTTAAGGACACAAATTTTCTTTGTGAATGAATAATGTATCATAAATAAATAAATGTTTTTCCTTAAAATACAGGGTGCATAAGTCAGGACACCCCTATGTTAAATTCCCATAGAGTCAGGCAGATTTTTATTTTTAAAAGCCAGTTATTTCATGGATCCAGGATAATATTCATCCTGATAAAGTTCCCTTGGCCTTTGGAATTAAAATAGACCCACATCATCACACACCTTCCACCACACCTAGAGATTGGCATGGGGTACTTTCCATAAGATCATCTTTCAATGCAAATCAAACCAGCTATTAGGCTAACTGAAGTAAAAGGTGTGTGATGATGTGGGTCTATTTTAATTCCAAAGGCCAAGGGAACTTTATCAGGATGCATATTATCCTGAATCCATGAAATAACTGGCTTTTAAAAATAAAAATCTGCCTGACTCTATGGGAATTTAACATAGGGGTGTCCTGACTTATGCACCCTGTATTTTAAGGAAAAACATTTATTTATTTATGATACATTATTCATTCACAAAGAAAATTTGTGTCCTTAAAGGTTGGAGTTTTCCTCATTTTTCTAATTAAGGCATTAAGATCAATATCCAAAAAATGATTTTTTTATTCCTCTTTTTAGGCAACTTTAGCATGGGTGTCCAAACTTATTCACACCACTGTACTCTCTCTCTCTAACGGCATTATAACTGTATTTGTCTGCTATCAATGGCTCAAGCCTCCGTTACTACCTCTAAAATGACGTTTTGGAGTTATAGCAAATGAGGCTTGAAATGAAATGTGTAAGAAATCAGGGTAACACTTTACTTGAAGGGGTGTGCGTAAGACTAACATGACACATTCATAATCATGACAAGTTTTAGGCATGTTTGTAACACTGTCATTAAGTGTCATTCGCTCAGTTATGACATTTGTAATGCAAAATAAGATGTCTTTGTTATGAAACCTTGACATAAACCAATACATCATAACCTGTCAATATCTTTGTCATGACAACTTGACATTACTAAGACAACCCAACATTATTAAACTTAAGAAAGCACCTAGCTTTATTGGTTAACAGTACATTAAACTGTCAGGTGGTTGGTTTTGACATTGGCTGTCATGAAGCCATTATAACTTTTTAATGACAAAATCAATTAGTACCACTGTAGTAGAGATCACAAAAATATTCATGACACAGTTATAATGGCCTCATGACAGCCAATGTCAAAGCCAACCACATGATAGTTTAACTTCATTTAATGTCAAGTTAGACACTGACAGGTTATGATTTTATGGTTTATGTCAAGATGTCATAATAAAGACATCTCAAACAATGTCATATTTGCATTCAAAATGTCATTATTGAGAGAAAGACACTTAATGACAGTTGCCTGACATATGCACACCCCTTCAAGTAAAATGTTACCCAAATCAGTCCTACAAGAACGTTTTAAGGACAAAAACCTGACAAACGTCTTGAGTGACAGCATCTAAACAATGTTTTTTAGGTGTGGTATCCGTAGTATAAGCAGAATAATTGACTCCAAAATAATTATGGCATGTCTGCAATTATTTCTCACATAATTCTCTAATTATAGAATGTAATTTCATATTTATAAATATTATTTTATGTTGATGTTACAAAACATAATTGCAGTAAACTAGAATCAAACATTATATTTTTAACATTAGTTTTTACAGTATCCTATTTAATCCTATGCTTTTTGTCCTCCAAAATCAGCTGAAAGTGATATAAGCTCTGATGAAGATAGTCCATCTTCGTAAGTAAACCCCTGAAACTTGACTTAAAGGAGTAGTTCACTTTTAAAAAAACTTTTTCTGATAATTTACTCACCCCCATGTCATCTAAGATGTCCATGTCTTTCTTTCTTCAGTCGAAAAGAAATTAAGGTTTTTGATGAAAACATTCCAGGATTTTCTCCATATAATGGACTTCAATGGGAACCAAACGGTTCACGGTCCAAAAGACACTTTCAGTGCAGCTTTAAACGATTTCAGACGATGAATAAGGGTCTTATCAAGCGAGACGATCGCACATTTAATAAAAAAATAACAAAGTTTAAGTTTTAAAAGCTCAAATGCTCACCTTGATCTGTTCTGTGATGCGCATTCGTGACTCTCGAACTCGTTCATCAAAATGAACAAATCTTTTTTCGTGTCATTTGGTTCATTCAACGAACGAAATGAACGAGTTGACTCTGGAAAAGATTCGTTCATTTTGAGGAACGAGTTCGAACAGGAGAGTCACGAACGAGCATCACAGAACAGAGCAAGGCGACCATTTGAGGTTATAAAACTTAAACTTTGTTATCTTTTTTTTATGAGCGATCGTTTCGCTTGATAAGACCCTTATTCATCGTCTACAATCGTTTAAAGCTCTTTAAAGCTGCACTGAAACTATCTTTTGGACCTTGAACCGTTTGGTTCCCATTGAAGTCCATTATATGGAGAAAATCCTGGAATGTTTTCATCAAAAACCTTAATTTCTTTTCGACTGAAGAAAGAAAGACATGGACATCTATAGATGACATGGGAGTGAGTAAATTATCAGCAAAAGTTTTTTTTAAAAGTGAACTCATGATTATCTGAAAATTATCTCACTGAAGAGGAAGATTTTGCTGCCTTCTGATTTAAAATTGAATTTTCTTATTTATGTCATTGACATTTTACACCCATAAAATGATTCTATTTGTAGTAACAGCGAAATAGCCAGAAATGAGACAGCGGACGCCTGGTCTGACCACAGGAACAGGATCTTTCTTCTGCTCTCGGCAGCTTCTCCACTTCTGACGCTGGTTTTGGTGATCTGGAGGATTATACAAAAACACAGTCAGTTCTAACACAGCTTTATATTCAACTCAAAGCTATATTCCACTGCTAATGCCTCAAATCCAATTTCACAGGATTTATTGCACTGCCACATTACATTACCTTGGTGAAAACTCACATTTTAGTCTCCGTGAATAACATATCTTTTTTCATTTGTATAGTATTTTGCCTACAATAAGTTCTTTTTATTATTTGCATGTGGTTTTATGATGTGATTCTTCCTGTTTAAAGATTTGCCCACACAAGGACGAGACGTCTGTCCTGAGGTATGTGTTTAGGCCTTGAAATATCTACACATCCCACAAACACAACACTACAGCATGACTTTAGATTCATACCAACTGAATAATCTTTTGAAAAGAGTTTTGTTTGCACTCTTATACAGACAGAAGGTCGTGTGATGTATGACACAGTGGTCTTCAAGAAAGGAAAGGACGATGAACAAAACCAGGTCTCAATTGTAAGCATTAGTACATTGCTGGTACTGTAATATAGGTAACTGTATGCAACTTTCACAGAAGTTTTTTTCTGTGGAAATGCATAATGTATCATGATCTCAATGCTTTTAATCACTGGCTCATTGAAATTCATCTCACTCGGTCTTGTGTTTTATTAAATGATTCTCAGAGCCGTCCTCCTGACCAAGAAGAAGTGATTTACAGCGCTGTGAAACTTCACTAATAACAGATGATCACTGGCAATTCATATTATACATATTATAATCTGAAGTAATGGCATATTTGCCTGTTTTCAAGGAGTTGAGAAAGAAAAAGAGCAATTTCCAACACAGGCTTTAATGTGTTGTTGGCAGATTGAGAGGTCATGGTTGTGTCAGATTATCATTTTACTATTAAAGAGTTTTGCCACAACTGCAAAATTCAAAAGTGTTACCTATTTATTAGCATGTAGGTTTCTTCTGCTTTTCTACTTTTATTCTTAATCAGTGTGAGAAGTAAAACTGAAACACTTCATGACCACATCAGAGAGCAACACAATCAGTTTCGGTCAACTTTAACATTTGTTATAACCACTTCAGAAAAACCTGAAAATACACACACTTGAAATCTAATTTCAATATTTGTCTTAGCAATTAAAATATTTTTTTTTTTTTGTGCAGCTATATATTTTACATTATTATTGTTGATGGTGTAAAAACACTTTCTCCTATTTTAGATTAATATTTGCTGTAAACCAGTTTGATTTCCGCAAAAAAAAAAAAAAATTTGTGAAATGGGAAGTATTTTAATCTGTATCAATACATATTTTGCTTAAGAAATCATGTATGTATCATAAATATTACATAAAAAAATGAATATGCTGTTGTTATGGCTCTCATTCAATGTAATGTTAAGGGATTTTACACACACGACACACAAACACACGTTACACATATAGTTGATATAGGCTACAACGTCTACACCGCTTATATATAAAAGTAGGCTACGCTTAAAAAGTAAATTTTTTTGTTCAAAATCAAAAACATTCAAATGAGAAAATACATAATCAATCCTTTTTCCAACCCGTGTTTTAGTCTTACCCCGATTTACTGCCTTTTACAAGTGTTTATATTTTAGACTTGATGGTTTTCACGAGATGGTGCTCGATGCAGAGCCAAATGGGAGGAGCTAGAGCTCAAGCTCCCCCTTTTCTGGAGCTCCAGCTCCACCTCGCTAAATTTAGTGGGCGGGGCTTCGCTGCAGCTTCCAATGGGAAGAGCTAGAGCTCTAGCTCACCCTCGCTGGAACTAGTGGACAGAACATAACGCGCTATCAAGCCTGTTAATGTTAGTGCGAGTTTCACCCGTGATGAAAGGACAAGTTTGTTTTGATGCGCAAGGTGCTGGCAAACATAATATTATATTTTACTCTAAGATTTGTCATGATTATGATAAATTATACAATGATTTATCGTTTCTGTGACAAACGCGTAAACACTTAGAACATTGCTCACACTATCTGTGCGTGTTTCTAAAAACTGTTGAAAACTTTGTATCTATGTATTCTTTTCTCTTTATTACGATGAACAGTTTCGTTGTTTTCCTTACTTTTAAAGCCGCTTTGGACAAAAGCGTCTGCTATATGATTATGTAAATTACTAGACAAAGGCAATGTGTGCACGTTTATTTTGTCCACCGCAGTAACGCGAGTTATTTGTTGTAAATTAATCTAAAAAAAGATTGTGTAAATAAATCATCTAATTAATTCATTAAATAAAAAATAAGACCAGGTTACCTAATCTGCCCTTTTTGTACGTTAATGTAAAAGCATAAGCTACTCCAATAGGCCAGTTGTATTTTTTATATATATATTGTAAATTAAAGTGTACAATTGACTGTATTGGATAGACTCAACCTTCATGTTATAGGCTATGCATTAACCCGTTTAATCCCAAATTTTTTCTTGCAACTTGAGTACATGCATTTTACTCCTTAGACCTCCCTAACACTCAAATAATATTTTTTGATTTTATGTTGGTTAAGTTAGTGAAATATTAGGTTTTATACTCGGTCACAATAGTGACCGGTGGGAAACTACATAGTCAGAATTCATTCAAATTCTTCAATTTGACCTATTGACACAATTCATTACAAGACATCCAATATCTCGTTTTGTCATTTCGTGAAGAAGGCTTAGTGAGGTGAAAAGGTTGTCATGAACAAAGTTACACCCTGGAGGAACTTCTGCTTGTTCGTCTAGACCCCTATGGGCTAGACCATGTCTACACTTGGCCAGTCCTAGGCCTAGGCCGAAACTGTCCTAGGCCAGTTTCAGGTAGATGTGTGTGCACTCTTTCAGTGCACTGAAGATGGACTGAATGTTGTAGAAAGGGTTGTTTGTGGTCATGTGTGAGGCACACCATTTGGTTCTCATGAACATCTGCACAATCCTCCAGATCACATCTGCATCGCCATTCAATAGTCTACCTGGCAAATGGGCCGTTCCACCCTGGGACTCCCTATCTGAGCCATCACTATTACAGTCACTTTCAATTTGGGGTGGGGGTAGGGGTGGGGGGAAGGGGGTCATGCACGTCCAGAAGGTCCAACACATTGAACGTTTCTGGGATACTGATAACTGCACTAAACAAAATTATAAATGCAACACTTTTGTTTTTGCCCCCATTTTTCATGAGCTGAACTCAAAGATCTAGACCATTTCTATGTACACAAAAGGCCTATTTCTATCAAATATTGTTCACAAAGCTGTCTAAATCTGTGTTAGTGAGCACTTCTCCTTCGCCGTGATCATCCATCCTCATCACAGATGTGGCATATTCAGTGTAGGATTGCCAATACCTGCCAATATCTGCCTATACTGTACCTGTGTTTTCAATTGAAGCACTGCTATACTGTTATACTACCGGTCACAATTGTGACCGTAAACAAATTTACAAGTCTTACGAGCAAAATATAAATGCAGGAGTATAATTCTCAAAATATATCAGTAGTAGACCCTTTAAAGAACATATGTACAAAATTTGATAGTTCTATCTGTAAATTAAGATGTTTTATATACTACTTATTTTAGTAGTCTGAGGAAGAAATCTTCTTCTAGATGTGCAAGCAGGAAGTGACCTGATCTGGTCATGTGACCTTTCACACTAGTCACATGACATTAATTGATTTTAATCAAGACAGTCTATTTTGTCATTTAAAAGTTGAATTTCTTGCCCAAAGTCAATAACAACATTTTTAGAGCTTCCAGAAATAAGAAAAAAGCTGCGGTCACAATTGTGACCGGTGGGATTAAACGGGTTAAGCTATTTTAATGAAATGGAAACAAGCAGTCCAGTACTCTAAAACCAGCTGTGTGACTTCCCACACTAGTCTAGAGGAAAAACAAGATAACAAATGTGCTGAGATTATGCATCCGCTTCACATTTTAATGGTAGCCTATAATAAGAAGTACATTGAAGTACACACTTCATATAACACATAACATTTCTCTTCACAGAACTCAACCAATTTTTTTTTACATAGTACTCCCACTGGTAGATAAGATTCAAGTTCAAGTTGATTTTATTTATACAGCACATTTTATAACTGCCACTGACTAAGTGCTTTAAAGAACTACAAAAATAAAAAAAATTAAGAGAGCTAGCCCATACTGCAATTCTTCCTTCTATTTCTTATCCCAACATACGTTCAGATTGTCAGCCCAGAAAAGCACATGAAATCCGTTTCAAGGCAAGCTACATCCATATGTGGTTTAAAATCCTATTCAAATACCGGGACATATGTCTCAGTCTGAACGATCGGATTTCGGGTGGTGTGTGACTCTCACGCCACATAAAATGAGATGGTGCTCGATGCAGAGCCAACTCTTGCTAACTAACAGAGTATTTTTTTTTGTGTGTGTGTTCAATAAAAATCAAGCTGGCGCTGAAATATGTTGCTTTTGAAATCATGCCGAGTGCTCGGAAGTTAACCTGCGCGTGCGCGGTGAAGCTGGAGCTCCAGCGAGGGGAGGAACTGGAGCTCCAGCGAGGGGAGGAGCTTGAGCCCCAGCTCCTCCCATTTGGCTCTGCATCGAGGACCACTTGGTTTTCACAGGAAATTGCGTGCATACGTCATTTGCCCATGCGTGGTTCGTCATATCCGTATGTAGTACTAAATAGAGTAAAGTTGTTCCAGTCCACCGGTTCCAGTCTGGTGTGGTGATAGTGGCATAGCCTATTTGTCACAAATAGCGAGAAAGGTTGACATGGAGCAGCTAAACATCCGATCTCAGGGCAAACTTACATCATGGAGAGTCTGCTGGCAAAAAGAAAACACCCAGAGCTCATAATAAAACAAGAATCAACCTTGGCTTGGCTTTTTGGAGATGGTGAGTAAAGAAACTGAGGTCTGAGGGGTTTGAAATGTTATTGTAACGTTAATTTAAAGCGACGCGTAGATGCCGTGTTTATTAACAGGAGGTAAGTAATGTGTTTATTGAACAGATAAAGTGCCATATTTAGCTCTCTATTGTATTGTAAAGAATTATTGTTAAGTAGTGCTGTGCTCGTAATATTAATGACCATATTCATCCGCAGTGTCAGAGCCGAAGCACAACCAAAACAATGTTCTTCCGCGAAATTCATACCGTTTTTAACCGCTAGAGGGCCTAACAGTTACAGTCTACATTTAATATACAGTAAAATATAGAGATCTGATTTTTACAATAGGCAGGCTGTAGTCCAATAGAAAAAAAATAATGATCATTTACAAAATTAGGTGTACATCCATAGTACAAATCTGCATAAGTTGTATAATTTAGTGTTATGA